TATCATGCAAAAAACCGTTTTCAAAAAGGGCTCCATGTCCTGAAAGACCTTCCTGGTAAGAGCTCACCTGATACTTTGGACTGCCGCTAGATGTAGCGTGCCAGAGCCCTTAGTGAGTTCAATTTGAGGACTGACGTAAGGATATGTTGTTATTTCACTAGTTTTGAGAACTGCATGAAATTTGGTTTCATTAGGAAGACATTGTACCCTCTCACATAGTGCACAGAAAAGGAGATGAAAATGGAGCGACTCGGAAAAAAGTGGATATGACCGCGCGCGCACGCGATCCTCATAATTTCGGCCCACCCTTTATATCTTGCCATTTGAGGAGGCGTATCAGTGGAAATGACGTGGGCCCAGCATTCGATAGAAGTCGCGTGGATAAGCTGTTTCCAGCATGTTTTGCTTAATTTCAGCGAAGTATTTCGGGAATAACCCATCTGCGCGACTTTCGGCGAGTGCGGCAGCCGCCACGTCCAGTGACACACCTACTCAGAGGGACTGCTGGGAGCGTACAAAGATTAAGGTCTTAGCACCTAGCGTTTTGGTGACGTGTTTCGAGACGCGAAAATCACGACATTGCAGTTGTCTAGCTGAAAGCTGAATGCACTGGGGAGACTTCTCCCGAGAGATGATCGCGAGTGGTCGTGCCTTAACCACATTCACGACAGCACTTTTCACGTGGGACGCACGCGATCTTGTGAGTGCTGCGAAAAAAAACGCGATTGTCACAAAAGGAGGTCAGCAGTGTTTGATGCGTAAAGGTTACCTAATGGTAAGCATAGTAGGATTTAATCAAAACGGCGAGTAGTTAATGAAAAGGCAGCATTTATTCATTTCCCACGCAGTTGAAGTAAGCATTTTCAACTCGATTGTTTCAATCAAAACGATTTTTTCCATTCATAGCGCTTTTTCTTTACTTCTAGCACTCTATTCGTTTGGGGCAATAAAAAGATAAAAAGTAGTCATACCAACGTTTCACTCGGCTCAGAGAACTTTCTCAAATCAAAGCATATATTCTCTAGCTGGTAGCCCATGTGAGCTACCATTTTCACGAGCACACTTTCTTGACAGGCCATATGGGCTGCCGCCGGCGTGAATGTATTGAGGGCATGAATTATGTTGGAGTGTGCGAGTTCAGAATTGCATAGTCGCGCGACATTAGCGTTAAGGTCCAACAAAGACCATAAAATAAGTGATAGATGACATCACAAGAATGGGAATCTGCTATGATTGCCTCATATGTTATTTAAACAGCTAAAATACTCTAACGAAGTTTATTAGCATTTATTATTGCGTTTTGTTCTATTACATCAAGCAGTTTTTGATGAATGCTACTGAAAATGATAAAAGCATAATAAGACTTGGAATGTAACCGATTCCACCTTGAATGCATCGCTCATTGCAGATGAACAACTCTGCTATCTGAAATAGTGTAGTATGACTGATAGTGTACAAAGCTGATCTAAAGTAATATGCTTCTACTGTGGGTTTGCTGTCTTTACCTCTCAGAAAGAGGGATAGAGGAATCACATGAAAACTTGCGATTTTTCAATTGATGGTAACGCATTTGAGAAGCCTACGAGTTTGGAGCGTTACTGCTCTTCAGAAGAGGCGCATCGTTTGCGTAGGACACATTACGTAGCGGAGGAGAGACGGGAGATTCATAAAAGTGAGTAGTCAGGTGAAAGAGAGAATGAATCTTGTGGTAAAGGAGCCAGGAAGTCAAACAGGAAGAACGATGCCTCTTCAGAATAAACTGCGAGGAAAATAGGCACCAAAAACAGTCCGCAAAAATTTGGTGTTATGTTTCAGTGGAAGTTGGAGAGACAAGTGGACACTCTTGAGGGTGCTAACTGACACACCATTTGCATCGAAGGACATGCTCCCGACGATCTAAGATGGCTTTTTTCGAGGCCCAGTTGACATGCTTTCGGCACAGTACGCCCCCTGTCGCATTGTCTGAGTCTAGCCGTTCAGCAGAGAGAGCGTTAGCGTTGAAGAGGGCAGCACCGATGAGAGTCGCATCAATGCGCAAATCAACGGGCAAGGAAGGGGTCCCATTTCTCGGGTTCTGGGCCATTTTTCGGTTTTTTCTTTTCCCGTGCATGACTGACCATCTCTAACTTGATTTCCAAGGGCCTACATTTCCATCGTAAAATCCGCTTCTCTGCCTTTTCGGGTGTGGCCAAGACAATTTGAAACCCTTTCAGTATCAAACTCTCGAAAATGGCCTATTTTTACTCGGGAAAATGAAAGAAGGAACCCGTTCTGTTTCAGTTTTCCTATTCCTACAGTAAAATGGATCCCATGATCTGTAGAGCACTAAAGGAAATACACCGCGACGCATAATTATAGTTCCACCTACAAATTTCCCAAAAACTTGAATCTGGGGATGTTTTTGGAAAAGGCTCTACAGATAAATTGTGACACATATAAACGCGAATCTGAATATTAACACGGAAATCCAGTTTGAGAAAGCAACAATTTTTTATCCTTATTTTTTCGAAAATATCCGCTTTAGCTTCTCCGCTGCATTTTGCTTTTACCCAATCAAAATTTGGAATTATTATCCATTCAAGTTCCTTAGCTTATAGCAAAGGCAAAACCGCTGTCACACTTCCGTAAAAGGGAAATCCTAGCAAAAGAGACGCAGGAATTGTCAAAGTGTCAGCTCCGCTGGAATTTGTCGGGGTGACTTCATAACGAACAAATTTCTCAAGGATGCTACAGGATATGACTGGGAGGAACCCTGATTACTATCCGACTGAGATAAGCGCCGTATCGTGAGAAAATGATATCCAGCCGGGTACTGAAATTGTAGGTGGAACTATAATTATGCGTCGCGGTGTAGATGTTATCGGCTTCAAGTTGCGCATTCAGTTTCCGATAAGACAAAGATGAGATGGGGAGTCAGATATATACATACAGGGGGGGGGGCAAAAAAAGAGTCACTTTGCCCATGGCGCATATCATCAAACTTTTCGTCGCAAAGGATGCCGCTGTTATTGGGAGTTATACGGCGAATATTCCTTAGATGTCCCCCCATAAGCAGAATCAGGCCCACCTTCGCTGCTTCACCGTCTCCAGAATATGACGTCATCTGTCATCACCGTCGAGCTCAAGGAGGCCTACCATAATCGCTCCATTCTGAAGCTGCTACATAATTTCTTCAATCGGATAACTGGTGAATGGCTTCTTAGGGACACTAGCTCTGACTATGCAAATGGCTTTTGACCAGCGTTTCAGAGACGTCGTAATCGTCTATGGTTTCTCGACGACCTCGTTGAGCTCGTACCGCGAACCATGTTTCCGTGGGAAAATCTTCTGATGTCGTCGGTGTAGAAAGCCCCTATGTAATTTTTTTGATAGAATAGAATGTGCTCTTCAATATGCAATTCAAGCGGTTTGGTTTTGGCAAAGTGTAATTAATTCTGTTTTGAATGTGAGTGAGAGTGACTCCTTTTTTGCCCCCCTCACCCCCCTGTGGAGCCTGAAATACATTGCGAATCAACTTGCTAAGAATGCGGCAGAAGAGTTAGAGCGCTCAAAAGAGCAAGATACAGATTTTTTTTCCTGCGTACGGTGTTTATTTTCTTTTTGCTTTCTTCTTTTTTTCAAGAAAGATGGTTGATGTGATCATTCCACGTACCTCCGAAGTTTGATTTATTTTCTCTGAGGAACATCCTATTTTACTTCGAAAATCCTATAAAGTTCAAGAATTTGGTAACATCTCTGCACAGCTTGCAATAGAGATTTTCCTGTCTTACTTTCACTTTTTGCTGCCATTCGTTCGGTGGAATGAACGCGAATGGCATATTGCTGTATCTTGGAGGTACAGGCGCGCATGTAACTCCCAGACTTGTGCCTATAATACACGTTATTTTCGACCTAAAACTGTATCGGTCGGGCTCGTCACCCAACGCACGAATTTTCTGCTTTCTGAAATTGTTCTCACACTTTTCTTCTGTGAATTTTCTTATTTGCCCAAATCCTATTATCACCACCCCGTACTTCATAATTGCCGAAACACCGTATTGTTGGTGTTTTGGCACGAGGTGCGAAACTTTTGAGGGAGTCGAAATACTTTTTCAACCTTTCATACTCTTTTGCGGTGGAATGGGCTGGAACCTATGTTACGTGACGATCAGTGTACATATTGTGGTAGCCCTGTGAATTGGGAGGTCTGTGTCAGGGATTCTAGAGAGAATGCTACTCTATAAATATCACCTCAATAATGCTTTCAGACTGCGTAACATAACGAAGGTAGAGCTCGTAAATAAAAGTACGGAGGTGGTATATTCGATGTTCCTTGATTAGTTTATTTTCGAGTGTTTTTAAAAGGTATATATACCAGACTTTAGTTTAGTGAGCCTATTTTAAAGCGAAGTCGGTCACACTCTAGCGTTCAGAGCCCAACAGAACACTTTTCCATAGGATCAATTTATATAATACTTTGATATGTTTAGCAGTCACATATTCTGAATCATCCATAATCAGAGAATAAGCAGACCTACGTAATGACTCCAAGGTTTTCTGTGACTACCTGTTTGGCCTGATTACAAGGCCATGATTATCTGTACACGGGGTGGTCCAAAATTATGAGGACCAAGACATTGTGTCGTTAAAAACGCATAGTAGCTTGATGGAGCAAACAAACTACAGGGAAGTGTTTGCAACTAGTATCTCAAAGTAATTCCAGAATAGAATTGAGATCTGCCACCTGCCGCGTTTACACGAGCCTTCAGACGAAGGGGGTGGCGCGTGCGGTGGCACGCAACTGAGGCGTGTCAAATGTTTCCAGGCCTTCTGCTCTGCTTTCTTCAGGAATCAACGTTTTGTGGGGCATTCATTTACCCATGTCTCCAGGGTGTAAAATACAGAATTCTAGAGCTGTTAGGTGGAGGGTTCCATTGTAACAATTCTTCGAGAGCAACAAACTCGAATAAATTTCGTTTTTTTTCAACTGGTCGAGTGAATGGTCTCTACCACTGTCCAAGGATAAAACCAAACTGTTGCACATTGGATCTCAAAATCCTGCATTCTCCTACAGTATTGGTGGGTCTCCGATCACACCAGTGGCCAAGGTCAAGGATCTTGGCTTTTTGATTACTAGTGACCTCTGCTTCGACCAGCATTGCGAATTTGTGGTTAATCGGGGTTACAATGCAACTTACAGGCTGTTCAAAGCCCTGTCTACTAGGAATATTTCTGTCCTTCTCCATGCCTTCAAAACCTATGTCAGGCCTTTGCTTGAATATGGAACGGTGGTATTTAATCCATACACAACGTAAATACATTGACATGATTGAAAAGGTCCAGAACAGTTTCACCAGAAAGCTCATGATCAGGGCGGTCGGATTTTGCTATGGAAGCATTCCCAATAGCAATGAAAGGAACTTTAACTTTGGACTACAGTCACTCCAATGGAGGAGGAAGAAGTTTGATTTGTTAATGCTCTACAAAATCCTACACCGTCTTACTGGTCTTAATAGCGGGGCATTTTGTACTCTTAAACCGTCTATTACGAGGTTTGGCTCGAGAAAAATTCTCAGTTCCACTGCAAAACTCAATTGTCGCTTCCACTTCTTCTCTATGCGCGCAAATTTGCTATACACAGCCATGAGCAAAAAGACCGCTATCCCTGTCAGTATTCACTCTTTCCGTAGAATCATCGATAAATACCTCGATCCTTGATGGCCTCTCACCTTGACTTCTCTGCCTCAGCCGTGCAGTGTATGTTTCCCTCTCTATGCTCGCTGTTGACTATAATTACATTTTATCCTTAATTAATATTGTGTTCTTTTTTGTTGTTTGTTTGGATTTTTTTACCATGTGGCCCTGTCGCCCATTATGCAGGTTTTAAGTTGTTTCTTTGTGGGCTGCACCAGAGCCCTAGCATGAGTCTTCTCATGTAATAAATATATATAAAGCTTTTTGGAGAATTTTCGCTCTATTCTTGGGTGCTCGGTCCAGTAAAACGTCCCAAGTATGGTACTCGAGTGGCTTCCTATCCACTATAGATGTGGAGTCTTTAGAGTGCCTGGCTGGGTTTTCACATCATTTTTTCATTTTGGGAGTACGAAAGTCGACAAGGGAGAGCAAGTTTCTGCATCTGATAATTGTCCTGGTGGTAACTGTAACTTTCGAGTCTCTAAAATTTTCCATCTGTGGTGGTTCCAAACTTATTGAAGAGTTGAACTGTTGCCCACATGAGCTTTCCTGATACGTTAGACTGCCGCTAGATGTAACGTGCCAGAGCCCTTAGCGAGTTCAATTTGAGGAATGACATATAAGGTGTTGCTCTTTCACTAGTTTTGAGAACTGCATGAAGTTTAGTTTCGAAAGGAAGAATACACTGTACCCTATCACATGGTGCACAGAAAAGGAAATGAAAATGGAGCGACTCGGAAAAAAGTGGATATGACCGCGCGCACGCGGTCCTCATAATTTTGGACCACCGTGTACTTTTCAATGTGTTTTTTGCTTTATGCTTTCATTTTGGTTTGTCATTACTTCCGTAAGTGAAAACACTGGAAAGGCAAAACTCCATTGGGATGTTCTTGTAGAAGCCATGAGGGCATTTTGGCACAAAATTACATGGCATTCTAAGAAGATTTTAGGTCTCACACGAACTGCTTCCTAAACTCTTTACCGATTTCGGGCCAAAAGTACTGCATGCGATGCACGGTAGGAAGATCGCAGTCTACCGTCACTCAGTTATTTGACCACTGAAGACTCATCATTGTTTGTTCGAGAGCCGGCATTCATATTACTGCAGTCGATGTTGCTCTCGAGTTCAATATAAAGGAGGGATGAACCCTACTCGGCGGACCGTGAAGTGACGCTGGAAGGTCTGATGGGTCCAGAAAAAGATTTGTTCAACGAATTATAGAACTTGGGACGCTAAGGTAATACACCGCCGCATCTCATGGATTTTCACTGACTCGAACAATGTTCTTTTCTGATGTGGAAATGTGTCCTCATTGTTGTGAAGTAATGGTAGATAAATGCGACGATCTTCCAGCGGAAGGTGCAACTTGAAATGCACGAAATACGCAACCAAGCATGGTTGGGGACTTATGATGGCCAGCAGGGCCTTCTTGCTGAAAGAAACTTGTCTCTGTACGTGAGCTGACGGCAACATGACAGGCAACGTTACCAAGAGATGTTGGCCAGTATCCCTACTATATATAAAGCGCTAAGTCTGTCTGTGTGTGTGTGTGTGTGTCACGAAATTCATAGCACGCGTCGCAGCAGTCGTCAGGAGCTGATTTTTGATATGATATAGGGGGTGGGACGGGAACATATTTGGTGGGGGTCACAAAGTGATAACGACTGATAAGAGCAGATAAGAGGCGCTGAAACACAAATTTCACGAAATTCATAGTGCGCTTCGCAGCAGTCGTCAGGAGCTGATTTTGGGGCATGATATAGGGGTGGGACGGGAACATATTTGGTGGGGGTCAAAAAGTGATAACGACTGATGAGGACTGATAGGAACGATATGCGTACGAACGTAGAGAGCATTTCATCAGCGTTGTAATTGTAAACTCCTTCCGACCGCTACACCTTCTAGAGTTCTTGAGGATGAATGGGATGCTCGAATAAATATGATAATGAATACTAGGCATTCCGTTTTGAGATATTCGACCGCTAAATTACCTCGATACTCGACGCATAGTGGTTGTTTACATCATCACTTTAGCTGTGCACTTCACTGCGCTTATCAAACAGTGAGATACAGCCAAGATGGGCCTATGCAACGGACAGTAATACATTTAACGAAGCAGCTATAATTTAGCGGTGAAACCTAAAGCTTCATCGATTGTCAGTTCTATCAATGCGCGCGGTAGCGGGCGGAGCTAAACTGGTAGTTGTATAATGGGCAGAACATAATATGCCAGAAAGATGGATAAAACAACAGGATAAGTAGCCAAAACACACTTAAAGGGTCACGAAATAGCAACTGATCACATTTTCGATGATAATTGTTTGAAGCATCATCCCAGACCAAGTTTAATAGACTCATATGATGAGCTTCTGAAGTTTGGCTAGGGGAAATTATGGCAAAATAGCAATGAATAGTTGTCTCAGTTCACATGCCTAGTTGAAATGTTATGGCTACACCTGATTGACTCTATCCATCCTGCGCTTTGATCAAGACTGGAGGTTTTTCTACCAAATGTGTTATCTTGCGATTTTAAAATGCTGTTTTTTTTTGGGAAGGACGTTTTCTACGAACAGCATGCTGTTCGCGATTGACAGTGATTTTGAGTTTAGCTTCCATTAAAGTCTGTGGTTGAAACGCACGAGGGGTGAGCAGTGAGATAGGTTTACCAAAAATTTCGGAAAGAACTCCCCCGAAAATTGCGGAATAATTTGTCTAGTCTTTAGAACAGTTTGTAAAAAGGTGGAACATGCCTGTCCATAAGCAACTGACGTTCCACCGCAGGGCGTCTTTATCGAGCAGAAACCCCGTATACATTTCATCGTTACAGAGGCTGTCCTTCTGTTCATACGTTGTGAAAAACGTAGAGTTCCTTAATCGCGTAGTTCCGCTTGATGGAATCATTATAAAGTGGTTCATCTCACATTGATATAAATCCTTCCCCTCCGGTAAGTTTGTGAAAATCCACTAACTGCAAAGCCGCTCGACGTCTGGCAATCCAAGCGCGGCTGAAACAGGCTACTTGTGAACATATCAATTCTACTCTGTTCATTCTTCCTATTCTTTTTACTGGGAACCTGTGGAATATCAGGTGGTATGGCTAACGTACCAAATGGCAGGGTGTCATCGTGGAATTGCTTCGGCTAATATTTCGCGAGTTATTCGTCTTCGCCATGGCCTACCGTGTGATGCACGCCTAGCGTGCAGAGATAAACTGATTGATATCACAAGAATTGTTGATCAACAACATTAGGTACTAATTGATGCAGGGTCACGAGTAGCTTCTGTTTGTGCACCTAGCCAAGCTGGTGAATAATACCTTACCCAGATTTCCATGAGAAGCGATCCGTGATGCATCGTCAAACAAGGCTCCAACTTGGTGAGGAGTGGTGCTGATGCGGTTTTTTCCGTTTCACTACAGCTGCAGAATGACCGTCCTTTTTCCGGAGCATTGGCTCACTTGACATAATGTTGTGTCCCGTAATGTAAGAAAGGCCTGTCAGTTAGTCACCATATTCCCCTGCGAAATAAGTCATAAATGACTTGAATTTGGAAGCCATTTTCATTGCGGAGTTCTTGCCCCTTCTGGGCTTATCCCTGGAGGTTGCCGCGTATGCTGCGGTAGCGAAGGAAATTGCTTACATAACCCCTTTCCTGAAAGGGCAACTATCGCGTGACCTTGATGATCGAATAATGTTTAAAGGTTTTCCCCAAGTTCTAAATGTTCTTAACTTTGCATCTGAACTATTTGACTTACTGAGGAACCCTACTGCAGAAAAGATTGTTGTCACAGTGTAGATTTGCCGAGGTTGCGAGTGTGCATATTGAGAATGAAACAAGTAGGCGGCCAACTATCACGGTCATTGAGTAAAAATGAGTGCAACCACCGATGCACTCAAATGATAGCGGAAGTCCCTTGTGTAAACACGACAATAGGTGGGTAATCCTCGTTGCATCGCTATCACTGGGTGATAGCCTTGACATGGAGATTTTTCTCTGTGACAGTTCTGCCGATTGCTTTTCAAGAAAGTCTTGCTGTTACCAATGCTAGAGATTTGCACTCTGACCATTAGTTGCTTGAAAGCAACGAGCATTGTCAAATTGTGGGTGGGCTGACGACTTCGAAATTTTCAGCATTTTACTTTATAGGATTCCTGCTTTCGCTGGATTTTTGCGAAAGCAGGATTGCTTGATGAAACAACGGTCAAACGGTTTCTTCGGTCAATCGGTTGAGCATTTTCTTCGTTCTGAGAGCTTTGAAGAAAATACTGCGTTGATGCATAATTATCGCGGCTTTTTTGTGCTTCCTTTTTCCGAAAAGATGGCGTTTGTTTATATTTTTTTTGAAAATATTCTTCTCTCTTTCATTAACAGAAATGCTTATCGAAAATCATCTTCATATTCGCCACATATGCTCTACCACTTCGAGAAAGGTTGGAAGGCGGCAGAGTCATTTCGCGATCTCAACGAACTTTTCGGCGAGGGAGCAATCAGCAGAAACCAAGATAATGATGGCAGAAAAGTTTCAAAAGCTATATTAACCAAGCTATTAGCTATATCAACCGAAGCTCTTACAGACTACCACTTCAACCAGTCTTTGAAAGACTGGCAAGCGAATAAAATTACGACGAGCTGGTTGACTTGGTGGCCGTTAGAGCGTGGGTCGTCTTCAAGAATCCTGACTTCTTCTCCCGTGGAATCGGTCGACTGCCAAGAAAATGGGAGTTATTCTTGAAGGATGGCGCTCCGGAATAATCACTTAAACATGTTTTTGTTAAATATTTTTTTATCGTTGCTGAATAAAATTTGTTGAAAGAGGTCGCACTAATTATGCATCAACGCAGTATTTTCTTCAAAGCTCTCAGAACGAAGAAAATGCTCAACCGATTGACCGAAGAAACCGTTTGACCGTTGTTTCATCAAGCAATCCTGCTTTCGCAAAAATCCAGCGAAAACAGGA